AGCATCTGGCGCACCAGGCGTGCCTGGCACGGTCGGGCCCCAGGGGTGCCTGGCGTGCGTGGCGCGCCTGGCACGCGTGGCGCACCTCGCACCCCAGCGTCGCGCACCTGGGGTCGGTGTTGGTGTCCAATGGCTGACCATCCAAAGACGACCGCTGAACATGCTGAGGCTCGGGAGTTACGTATGTGTTGGGAGGGCGGGTGGGAGTGAGCTGGACGGCTTGCGGGCGGGTGGGTAGCTTGACCCTTCCCCCTACCCCCTCCCGTGGACCCAGACGGGGCGCCCCGCGACCGACTGGAGCGTACAGGGAAGACCTCGGCGAGAAGGCACAAAATCATTGTGATTTCACCATGATGTTATGCCCATTTGGGCTCCTGGGGGGGGGTCTAATTGACTACCCCCCCTTTTTCGGTCGATCTCCTCCAAGATGGCCCCAAGATGGCCCCTGAGGCTCCCGAGAGTGCCCCAATAGTGCCCCAAAGAGACCCCCGAGAGGCCCTAAGAGGCCCCAAGAGGCTGCCCTGAGGCACCCAAGACGCTCCAAGAGGCCCCCGAGGCCGCCAAGAGGCCTCCGAGACTCCCCGAGAGGACTCCAAGAAGCTCTCGAGAGACTTCCGAAAAGACTCCGAGAGGCATCCAAGAGGCCTCTGGCCTTTCTGCTCGCCCTCCTCCTCCTCCTCCTCCTCCGCCTCCTCCTCCTCCTCGTCCTATTCCTCATCGGCCTATTCCTCCTCCTCCCTCCTTTCTCCTCCCCCTTCCCCCCTCTCCGTACTCCTCTTCCTCCGATTCCTCCTCCATCCTTTCTCTCTTGGGGTTATAACGTCTTCCCCAGCCCTTAATTCCACTGCATGCTCCTCCACATCCCTGATCAGGGCAACTCGTCTGGGCGTCGTCCCCCCTTCCCCTCCTCCTCCTCCTCCTCCCCCACCTCCTCCTCATCCTCCTCCTCCTCCTCCTCCTCCTCTTCCAGCGCCTCCTCCTCCTCCTCCTCCTCCTTCGCCTCCTCCCCCTCGTCCTCCGACGACTACCATGGGGATCGACCCGGAGTCGACAATGCGTCCATCGCCGGTAGATCGGCGACAGGTCTTCGGCAGCGACACTGCACGGTCCTGGGCGGGGTGGACTGAACTGGCCCCGTATATCGGCGATCAGTGGGCGACTTGGGGCCGATGCGTCTCCCCTGAGCACGTTCCCGGTCCTCGTCTTCTGGCTGTCGGGTCACAACTCGGTTCTCCGGCGGCCGTTCGGGGCGATCGGTGCCCACTCCGAACGCTCTCGGCGAGGCGAGGTGCTCCGAGGCTGAGTGCCGACGAGAACCGACGAACACTTACGAAAACCTGAAATCCGCCGACCCCTTGGGGATCATCGGCGTGTGAGATGCTTCCCCCTCCCCAAACCCCTCCCCCGGGAGCCCGGTCCGGTCGATTTGGAGGGGGGGGGGGGTCCGGCACGAGCGCAGCACGGCCGGGACGAGCGGTTCACGGGGCTTTTCCGGGCCCAAGAGGGCCTCAAGACGGGCCAAGAAGCCCCCAAGAGGCCTCCAAGACGGCCCACGAAGGCCCCGAGACGCCAAACGACCGCTCCAAGACGCCCAAGATGGCCCCAAGACGGGCCAAGAGGTCTCCAAGACGGCCCCCGAGATCCCAAACAAGCCTCCCAAGAGGGCCCCAAGAGTCTAAAATTGTTGATTTTC